TGACGGAGTGGAACGAGGAGAGATGCCTGTCAGCTCTGAACCCAGTGACTCGCTGTGACGTCATTTGTTATGATCCCTGGAGTGTGTGTGTGCGCGCGCGCGTGTGTGTGTGTGTCTTGTATGCGTGTGTTTTATATATATACCCATGCACTTTATGTAAGTTTAAATCCAGCCGTTGCCCTCTCTGCCCCCAGTAACCTGGGATGCCTGTCTGCTGTGTGTGGGCGTTTTTGTGTGTGTGTTGGTGGAGGGTGGGTGGGGGTGGGGGTGGGGGTGGGGGTGGGGGGGGCACTGTCTCCTACCACTACCCCTACACCGCCTCCTGAGCGCTTAGCAACAGTTTCATTGGTGCTTGTCGGGTCCCTGAGACACCAGTCTGCTCAGTGATTAGAGGCTAGGGGGGTCTGCCGCCATGCCATTGGCTGGCCTCGACATGCTGGGGAGGAAGCAGCCAGTCACCTGCTGCATCCTGCAGAGTGTATGCCTCTTCTTTTTTTTTTTTTTTTTTACTGAAATGAGGGACAGCAGAGCCACAAACAGCATTGTCTGCAGAAAAAGAAGCCATCACTTCGAAAAGCCAGGAGTCGCTAGGGGGGTGTTTGGAGGGGGGGGGGTTAAGGGTGTGTGTGTGTGTGGGGAGGGGGGGGGGTTAGATGGAGGGAGTCAGTGCCAACATGGAGTGAGTCATGCTGGGGGGGGGGGTTGGTTAAAGGGATGAAGAGGAGTTGGGTGATTAGTGAGGTGAGGTAATGCCTCAAACCAGAGATGATGTCATCACATAATAGACAATACACACACTCTCACTCCACAGAACACACACTTGCATACCTCTGCTGGCATGCAGCGTGAATGAATGAGAATTTGATTGATCACCGCACGATGACTAACAATTGATCGCCTCACAGCGACTAATGTGACAGGCAATAACTCTCCCAGCCTGGAGAAGGAAATGAAAACGGCCAGATGGGCAGTTTTTTTTTTTTTTGGCAGAAAGTCGACCTTTCTCTTAGATGCTCTAATTTCTTTTAGATTGTCTTTTGTTTTGTTTTGTTCTAGTCAAACCACCATCTCTCTCTCTCTCCCTCCCTCTCTCTCCCTCTGTCCACTGTCTGTGTGTCTCTCTCTCTCACTGTCTGTCGCCTTTAAGTGGAGCAGTAGCCTTGTGGGCCAACAGTGGCACATTAGCGGCGGGTGAGAGCTGACTGTGTTTGACAGGATTGCTGTAGCGTAGGCAGCAACACACAAACACTCGCACACACCACTGCAACTGTCCGATCCTTACCTCCCCGCTCCTTACCACCCCCCACCCCTGCTACGTTTCCCCAGGGTAGAATAACAGTGACATGGTTCTAAACACAAAATGACTCCATAATAAATTGTGTATTAAAAAAAACAAAAAACAAAAAACATTTCAAAAGCACCAATGTTAAAGATATAATATAATAATTATATTAAAGAACTAAACTAATAATGATCAGCTTGTAAAGGGAAAAATAAAATGTAATAATCTAGAATCTGACCTCACACAGAGGTCTTGATGATCCGGTGCAGCAGAGCAGTGATGTTGGATAAAGGGCATCTGCACATTCAAAACAAGAGCCGAGGGTAAGACTTGAATGAGTCCGATTTGTAGCTCTTAAAAAATTAATAGGTCTAGGAAATTCATAGCAGAAGAGGCACAAGGGGAAGAAAACATTTGTGCTGAGGAGTGTGTTTTTTAATCATTTAGACTATTTTTTTAAGTGATCGGCTCTTTTGAATCATTTATTTTATTATTCCACAAAAATTTGAAATACAAAATCTACACCCTTGTTTTTGAATTATTTTTTCTTTTGTCTTAAAGATTTAACAAAAATGTAGGAACTCAACACAAGACCCTTTCAAAAAACACAAAGACCAGGATAAACAAAGACCATAAAACAACAGAGTGGGGGGTGGGCCGCGGTGGGTTGTTGATCATATATTCATACACATTTCATCAAAGGATGCCTTTTAATTTGCTTTGATTAGGGTTTTTTTTTTCATGTAATCTAGAAAGGGCTGCCATATATTTTTTAAAAATAGAATCCTTTTCCTCAAACTCTTTCTTCCTCAAATGCTTTGCAGCTAATGAATAACCTTGTTCCAATTAGCAGAACAGATTTTAAGGAAATACATGTGTTAGTTATATCTAAGCTAACACACGAACTCTATGAACTTGATGGCATGGAAGTGGTAAACATACCCACCAGCCACACAGCACATCAGGCGTAGTGTGAACGTAATAAGATGTACTTTACATAATGTCATGCAGGTACGTTGCCAAAAGTCATAAATACTGTGACACGTGCAGGTGGATTGTATTTAATTTTCCCTCGTCTAAATCACATTTAAAACGGAGACATTAGCATTAGATTTATGCTTATGTGGCTTGAATGAAGTAACATGAGTTTGATGCAGAATGTTTAAGTGGATCAATGTATGTCTGAGGTTACCTGTAGGAGAAACGGTGCATATAAATCAACCCACCTCCATTATTTTCTAATTTTTTTGTTCATCTAAGTGTGGATATGTCCATCAAACAATATTACAGAAGATAAATAGAAGAAGTGGTGTCATATTGGAGAACTTCCACTGGCTTTAGCTGTAAATAACTTGTAAACTTGTAAAAACGCTAGACTTTAGTGCCTTGATTGAGGACTTCCTTATACATGGACTGCTTTATGATTTAAATAGCTGTCAAAATATGTCAATTTGAAGCACCCCACTTTCCCCCGGACCCTCTACGGACTCATTGACCCCTCACAGTGCTGAGATGTAATGATTGTTCTGGTCTCTTGAAACTTAGAACAGAAAAAGAGTTAATAATTCAGCAGACAGCTCTACCAGATTATTAAAGAGCTGTGATGACAATGAAGCTAAGATTCAGAAATAAGTAGAGAGAATTTGAATAGATTTGCCTGCAGGGCAAATAAATCTGCAGCAAAGCTTAAACTTCTCGTCCTATGGAAACCTCAGCGTCGTCGTCTTGGAGAGTTTTATGTTTTTTTTTTAAATAAGCACCAAAACTGACACTTTCTACCTGCTCAAACATAAAACCAATCTGTTATTATCTGATGTGATGAAGTTAGATGGCATTGGTATTGTCATCTCGGGTTATTTATTTATTTCCGAGGTGGAGGTCTTGAAAAACTTCAACATAAATGCTTCATAAATGCAACTTTTTCTCACTTCTTGCTGATGCAGAGTTTTGTAGGACAACATTGTAGACCAGACAGTGCAGAGAGCAGTGGAGTAGAACCGTGTCTGGATGCGTGTCTGCGCCCGTGGGGAAGATGAGCAGGAAGAGCAGCTGAGAGAGCAGATCCAGGCTAACCGGTGGTAGAACACTGGGCCGGATCAGAGACGTGGATTAAAGCATCAGGAGCAGGATGACTCATGCACAGAGAAGTTCCCCTCCGCTGTAAACCTCTTTGCGTCTCCTCAGCCATGCCAGCCATGGTGTGATGTGATGGTCAGATTGTTAACCCCTCCTCCTTTCACTTGCTAAATTTATCCTGGTCTTGTCTCCAAGTCACCCCCCCCCCTCCCTCCCTCCCTCCCTCTAAAAAGATGACATCACCTCTGCTCCTGGCTATGCTCTCTAGTAAATCAGTCTACCATGCATTGCTCCCTCTTGGCATTTTTTTTTTTTTAATCCACCACAAAGCTACTACACTGACCTTTTTAGAGTCTGATAGGATTTCCAAAAACAAGGTGAGTGACTGGTCATGGGTTCGACCCCAACACCACTTGATGTGTCCATCCCTTTCTGGTCGTGTTCATCAAGAAGATGAGGAATCCCTCACTGGTGAAAAACTGTTTTCATATCACTGAACAGTTTGTTGAAAAGAGTGAGTCACAACTCGGACAAACAAACAGATTTTTGATAACATTCTTTATATAATGATGACTGAAGTGCTTGAGGAAAGCAATTGTCCTGACCCCACCCCCCCCGCGGAGCTAATGCTATGGAGGTTGCATCAGGATTAGGATCAGGTTTTTGCAATGATGTCATCCTTACTGCTCCCCTACAGTGAGCACCTAATAGCTCACACACACACGTTATCCACGGTTGCACACTTTTACAAAGATCCAGGTTAATTACTTGGGCTCTTAGTTGTGTAATGGTCCCAGGCCTGTGGATTGAGTCCAAGTGTGCGGGGGCTAACGCTGCTGCTGTGTGGGCGGAAGTGTGTCGGCCGGTGTTGTCTGTGTGGGCAAGTATTTGGATGTTTGAACGATTGTCTGTCTGAGCTGAAAAGGACTTTTCATAATGTAAAAGATATTCCAGGAGGGTTGGTGTGTGTTGAAAGCTGTTGCATCAGACGGAATAAAATTCAGAACCACTTGTTTTATCAAAGATTTGTCCTGATGTCACCGGTGCAGTGTGTGATATTAACGGTTGGACAAAGTTTATGCAGCAATGGCAACCACAGTACCTTACCCAGTGTTCAGTGTATCTGGGGCTTGTTCAGATGACTTTAGTAGGGGGAGTCCAGGTGTGGTACAGCGTCACCTGTATTCCAGTTCATTAGGCTAACACCAGTGGACCGCAGACTACAGGTACAAAAAGGTTAATGTCACATTTAGTGGGAAATAATCATATTCATGGCTCTTTTGTGTTGAGATATGTGCTGGGCTGCGACTAATGATTCATTTCATTACCAATTAATTTGCTGCTTCATTCTTCAAATATCTTAATTTATCCAACCAATAGTTCAAAATCCAATGATTCAGTTCATTATGATATAAAACAGGAAATCGTCATATTTCAGGGGCAGAAAGCTACATTTTTCAAATTAAAAACAATACTTAAATCATTACTTGATTATTAAAATAATAGCTGACTATTTTTCTAATCATCTTTTTCAGCTAATTGTTGCAGCTCCAGATTTGTGCCTCTCCAACTAATCTAACATCAACTTGTGATATTTTGACAGTAAGAACCAATAAGAAAACCGATCTGATGATTCCTGCAGGTGTTTGGCAATAAGATGGTCATCCCCTCACTGGACGGTGCCTTGTTCCAGTGGAACCGGGACAGAGAGAGTATGGAGGCAGTGCCTTTCAGCGTGGAGTCCTTGCTGGAGTCGTCCTACCGTATCGGAGAGGACACCGTCCTGGTTGGGGGCAAATCCCTAACTACCTATGGTCTGGGGGCTTACAGCGGCAAGGTCAGTGAAATCATTTCAATTCAAATGTGACAGCATGGAAACAAATGGAATGAATGGACTTATATTTTCCCTCTGTTCCACCAAGAGACTGAATCAAATTAATCATACCAATTAGTTTTGAAAGAAGTCAGCAAAACAGCAACCAAAACTAATTCCACTAACACAGTAGAATAACCCTCTTCGTAATTTCCCCCGTTGTTTTCCTCAGCTTCGGTACATCTGCTCTGCGGTGGGCTGCAGCCACTGGGGGGATACTAATAATGAGATGGAGTCTGAAGACGTGCTCCTGCTGCAGAGGACTCAGAAGACCGTGCGAGCCATCAGGCCCCGATCGGGGATGGAGAAGTGAGTTTCATTCAGTCATTCAATCTGTCATTGTCGCTCTCGGTCAGCCCGAGTCATGACGCATCTATTGTATCTGTGTGTGTGGTATTTCAGAAAGAGCCACGTGACTGACTTTCTGTCAGTGGTTTTAAATCGTGTCAGTCAGCTCTTCATCTACTTTCTCATATGTTGCATACTCATAATCTATGCATTGTTTTTGTCAGTGTCCTGATCTCACCCTCAGTAGACAGAGTAAATCTGTAATTGTGTTATGCACGGCCATGTTACATAAATATCCATTTTGTTTACATTTGGAGTCAGCTGATTTAAAATGCAGTGAGGAATAAATAATTCATTTATTAAACAAAATAACACTCAACAGTTATCATTATTATACTTTTTCATAAAATTAACCTTTTAATTGTGATGATCAGTTACAAAAGTACAAATTAAAGAAGGTGTTTCACCTGTGTGTTATCGTTCTTGTTACAAGGTGGAACTTCAGTGTCGGAAACTTTGAGCTGAAGCTTCTTCCCGAGGCTCAGTCTGGAATCAACTTCCTGGAGGGAGAAGTGGCGAATGGCGATGCCTGGAGGGAGAGTCAGCGGGTCATCACCGACGAACCGAAAGAGAGGGAGCAGGCGGAGAACCAGCAAAACCAGAAGCAGAATCTGGACCTCGTCATCAAAGTGTCAGTTCCTGATTGGAAGGTCATGGCCTTCAGCACCGAGCCTGAGGGACAGCTGGTCTGGGAGCGTCAGGTTAGATGTTATAAACTTAATTAAACTAAATTTACAGTCAGGAGCTTCATTTGAACTCTTTCTAGACATCAACAAAGCACATAATCTAACTCTCTATCACCTGTGTTTTGTAGTTCTGCACGCCCATCGCCTCGGCCTGGCTGGTGGGCGGTGGTAAAGTCACACCAATCAGCCTGTTTGACGACACTGCCTACAGCAACCAGTCAGAAACTGATGAGGAGGAGGATAACGATGATCCGGAGAAGGCCAGGGGAACGGCAGAGTCCAGCGTGTACTTAGGTGATTTTATACACAAGCATAAATAAACACCTGAAGTGTGTCGGTGTTAAAAATCGGACGCATGAGGAGGATGATTGATAAGCTGTGCGTCTTGACACTTGTACTGTAGTGCACAAACAAACCCCTTTGCTCTTATTTTACCAGGGATGTTCCAGGGACAGCTCTACCTCCAGTCCTCAGTGAGGATCACTGAAAAGTTCCCCTCCAAAGCTATCGGATCAGAGAAGAGTATAATTCCACTGCCTACTGTCAAATGGAAGCCTCTAATCCGTAAGTCCACAGCTCCTCAGTCAAATCATTAGGTGCTGTGTCTAATTACCAAAGTCACTGAGGTAGTGAGGGCATGAACACCCGAGGTGCAGTGACCAAACACCGACCTCATCACTGTAATTTTAACCACTAAGTGAAACTTTGTCCCCAAGAAATATTTGAAGTCATCCGGACGCTGTGTCTCCCTGTTTTCCCTATTTATTCCCCTTGATATACGGCCACTCTGAGATTGTTATTCCATATTGATCCGTCTTCTCACTGAAATCAAAGAACTTATTCATCTTGTTCGTGACACAGATTCCCCGTCTCGGACACCAGCCCTGGTCGGCTCTGATGAATTCGACAAGTGTCTGAATAACGACAAGTTCTCCCATGACGAATACAGTAACGGAGCCTTGTCCATCCTTCAGTATCCATACGGTAAGAACCTCGTACTGGACACAGGCTGTAAAAGCCCACAATAAAGTCTTATATACATGAAGGGCACCCAGGATGTACAGCAGAGAGAGGTGAACTGGCTTAGAGGGACACAGGCAACAAAAATCTCCACTGACTGATTTCTTTGTTTCCTCCTTGTAGACAATGGCTACTACTTCCCCTACAGCAAGCGTTACAGAGAGAAGCGCGACAGTGCTGTTAGCCTGATAAAGGGAAACGTGGCGGGGGGTGACAGTCGCAGGAGGAAGGACCCCGTGCTGCTGCTGCCTTGGTGGAAGGAGATCCTCGGCACCATCGTCTTCTGCATCGCCGCCACCACCTACATCGTCCGCAAGTTCTTCCACCCTCCCGCCCCTGTAGCCTACGTGAGGGTAAGGCCACAGACAGACTGTGAGCGTGAATACCGTAGTGACCATGAGCATAGTGCGATAATTCCTCACGGTGCAAATGCAACTTTTATTTTGTGTAAAGAATTTGCTTCAGTATTCAGTATAATCGGCAAATACTCATTAAAGTATGTCACAAACAAACTTTCTGTGACATCCTTGAGGTTTTTAATTTGAGTGTCTTTGTTAGATGATAAAGTTGACAAAGTTCATTTCAATCAGACATTTTAAATTCTATGTTTTTTAAAGTAAGATTCTTTGAAGTAGTTCCTTTAACATAAGCGCATTAAATCTTAAAGGAATGTCTTGTCTGAGAAGAAGCTGAATACGTGTTCTGCCCTCTGTATCTGCTTCCTGTGAGAGACCTTGTTCAGGTGTTTCTCAGAAAAAAAAAAAAATACCCAGCATGCCACAAAAGTTAAGCTTGTTTTTTCTAATAGGGAAAAAAAAAAAAAAAAAGCAACATGTATGATGTCCTCAATGTGTCTTCGCTGTCTCCCCCCCCCCAGCAACGGAAAGAGTCGGAGACACAGTGCCAGACAGACAGCAAGTTTGACCTTGAGGTTGTCGAATCCAAAGAGCCGGTTGCCATGGAGACCCGTTCCAGCGAATATGTGTCCAGGTACGTCATTAACACACTGTGAAGCTGAGGCGGAACGCGCTTCATGTAAATGATTTTGTCATGACTCAGGGGAAGTTCACATAACAACACCACTGTGCCGGGAATTGTTATCCTCACACTTGAAAGTCGAACGCGAGTCTCACTCTTTCAAGGTGTAGCTACAGATTCAGCACTGTTACCATGGTGACCACTGGTCTTCCAGCCTGCCTTCATAGGACAAGGCAGAGATTGGAGATACGAGCCGTAGTAGTGCATGATTGGATAACTCAGCTGTTCCATCAAATGAAAATGACCTTGTCACCCGCAGACCCCACCCCACCCAGCAGCATCTGCCACAGGGTCGAGGTGTCACTTTACATCACTGTCAGCACATTGTCTGAAGTTTTTCTGTTATTTTGGACATCCGGAATATGATCAGTGGCCATAATTTATAGGCTGCCACTGACATCCTGTAGTCTGATTGATGGACTTTACGTGTTTATATTGGTGAGCTAAACGTGAGGGCTTTACCCTCCCAAACACAAGCAGGAATCTGATCAAACTGCAGTGTGTTTTTTTTTTTTTCCTCTCCTGGTGTCATCACTTACACAGTCTCTTCTTTGATCCACCCTAAAATGACAAACACCCCACCCATCCCTTTCCTTTAAAGCTGCTGCAATCCATGCAGATTGCTTTTGCTGAAGAACTTTCTTTAAATAAAACCGGTGGCTGTTGCAGCAGCTGCTGCAGACATGAGTCAGGATCATTACGAGGGAGATAGAGATCAGGAAACCAGAAGAGGCCTGAATCACATGTGCCCACACATTTCCTAATAAGACAGCCCTCAGTCCCCTGAGGGGCCTGAGCAGGGATGCTTTGACAGGGTGTAGAAGAGAGTGAATGGAGGCAGCAAACTCAATGATTTTATTTCTTTACGTCTACTTAGAATAACGGAGTACTCCCTAATGATGGTTTATGGAGTCAGACCAAATGGAAAAACTGTGATACTCCTGACAGGCGGTGTGTGATTGAGATACAAGTAGCAGAAGAGCTGCGTCTATAACAAACAACAAATGAATATTACGTTATTTAACTTTAAAATAGGCCATGTTAGTCCTGACATCATGAAAAATAAAAATTCTCTGTTCAGTTTATTTTTTTTATTCTAATAATTTGTCGTTGCTGTTACTGAGCCTGTGACTTTGAGGTACAGTTTGCCTTAGTGACAGCTAAGAGCTTTTTTGACAGCACAATATTAATGTGAATTAATGATTCATGTTCAGCTTTAACTTGGTTTCCTGCCAACTCAGCACTCACAGCCTTGACAGGGATTTCAGCGTCTTTGTTGGATGATAAAAACTTAATTTCAAACTAAGGATAGGATCTGTAAAAAGCGGGATACAAAATAGGCGATGGATGTTTCACCTGAGAGGAAAGTTGAATGCGTGTTCTGCCCTCTGTATGTGTCTCTGTGTGTGAGAGACCTTGTTCAGGTGTCTCTCAGAAACAAATACCCAGCATGAGAAATCTTTGTCACACAGTATTAATATTTCTTTCTCTCTTCGGTTGCGCCATTTTTTTCTTTTAGTCTAACCATGTGTTTTTGCTGTTACTCAGCATGTGACTTTGAAGTAGAGTTTGCCTTAGTGACAGCTGAGAATTTTTTGACAGCACAATGTTAATGTGAAATTAATGATTCATGTTCAGCTTTAACTTGGTTTCCTGCCAACTCAGCACCCACAGTCAGCCATGACAGGGATTTGGCTGGTGGTAATTTCTTCTCTGCTAATCACCTTTTACCACTTAATGCACCTCCTTGACTATAGAGGATTATGTGATTCCTGGTCTTTGAAATTGTCAGGGACGTAGGTAATAACACACGTGTCACACACAGCTCCTTTGTGCCACTGAGCACAGTGTGATTCTTCTTTGCATAATGACAACCAAAGTGTCTCTCCCCAGGTACCTAACCGACTTTGAGCCAGTGCAGTGCCTCGGCCGCGGGGGGTTCGGTGTTGTGTTTGAAGCACGCAACAAAGTGGACGACTGCAACTATGCCATCAAAAGAATCCGCCTGCCCAACAGGTAGTGCCTCTCGCTGGCCGCACCACAGGCTTTGTTGCTGGAGGCTATTGCCCCTGTTTTCTTGAAAGCTTTTAAACTGGTTATGTAAGCAGCAACTTACTAGTCTAAAACACAGAAAAACCGCGCAGAAATAACTGACACTTTGGAACAAATAGTAGCCGTGCAAATTTATATTTGTACTGACAAGCATGGAAATTTAGTGTTGAGCTGCAGCGGCTCTGCATTTACTTTCACATTAGCCCTGTTGTTGACTGGAGCATCCCGTAATGCATAACAAACTAGTCTGTTAATTATTTTCATGCCCAGTGTTTTTGTTGAAGCGCTTGTTAAGCCCTTGGTGCATCAAAGCCAGCTTCATGTTGTGTCATTACGGTCTGTTGGTGTAATGGAACAAATCCCAATATTTTTGTCTTAGAACATTTGTCCATGCATTCGTTCAACAGTGAGTCAAGTGACTGGGAATAAAAAAAAAACATAACAAATCTAATAAGAGCAAAGTTTTATTAGGAATTCTTTGGAGTTGTGTGTTCATACCTTTAATTCATGAAAAATCAGACAACCAACTGTCAAACTAAGTTTTTTTTTTTCCCATCATTCAGGGAGCTGGCTCGTGAGAAGGTGATGCGAGAGGTGAAGGCTCTGGCCAAACTGGAGCACCCTGGGATTATCCGCTACTTCAATGCCTGGCAGGAGAGCCCCCCCGAGGGCTGGCAGGAGGAGATGGACAAGAGGTGGCTGAAAGACGCCAGGTGAGCCTCGGCTTTTAAACCTGTTATCCCGTGTTGCTCGGCAGGTCGAACACGGCGCTTAAGTCTGCGAGGAGTCTGTTTTCCTCCCAGCGGCGTCCATGCAAAGAAACTTCAGCCTCTGCTTGAGAAGAATAATGACATGAAATAATCACATTTGTGACATTTAGTACACCACAGACTCGACATCGCTCGGCTCACTTCACTCACTGATTAAGACAGATGTTAAAATGTCATGTAATGAGAAATGCATATTAGCATTAAGCATATTTGCAGCAGTGTATTCGAAGTCTGGTGTGTTTAGTCCTTTGCTTGATGCACAGTAAATATTGCTGCAGTATATTTTGTGATTTCCTTTTTTTTCACATTCATTACACACTTGCACGTTTGTCTGGAATGAATTATTTGTAATATTATGTAGTAGTTGAATGTAATTTAACTCAACCTGTAAGCCTGGCAGCAACAAGACTTCTTCTTCTCTGACAGTACCACCGACTGGCCAATGAGCTTCCTCGACCACATGGAGGCGCTGTCAGTCAAAGTGCCAGTGTCCAGCTCTGTCTCTCCTGTCTGTGGGCCGGAGGGAGACGTTCTGGAGGCCTCCACCGATCCCCGAGCCTTGCTCTCCAGCAGTGCCGGTGGATCCGTCAGTTTCAGCGTTGACGACGGAGACCTATCCTTCCTCCCGCTCCTGGGCCACGACAGCGTGATGTCTGAGAGGGACAGCCAGGCTGACCCCGACGCCTCGGACACCCCCCACTCCTTTGAGCTGTGCCCCCCGCGCGGCCCCAGTGACTGCACCTCCTCTTCCTTCGACATAGTGTTCGAGGACTCGGGCTGCGACCGAGATGCGGAGGCAGACACGGACTCGGCCTCCGGTGCAGCCAGTCCCAGCACGCTGACGGAGAAGAACAGCTCGTCTTCCTCGCACACCAGGCAACAGGAATCCGCCCCGCCCTCTTCTTCCTCTCCCCCACGGCCAACCTCACTTACCTTGGCTCTCCCCACAACTCCTCCAACCCAGCGAGTCCAGCCTTCTCCCAAGGTCAGTCAGTCATTCACTCACACAGTTGTTATTATAGGCATCAGTGTTAGGGAATACTTTGGGGTCATTTTTGGCCCTTTACCACTAATATTAGCTCTTTCAGTTGTACTTGTACAAGGAAAAGTTTTCCCAAGAATGATTGTAACATCTGCAGGTGTGGAGGTTTTTTTGTGCATGTGCAATACCTAAATAACAATATATATTATAATATATTTTCTTTTCCTCTTTTTTCTAGTAGCAACTAAAGTGAAATATTTCTTTTGAGTGTCAAATATAAATCATGAAGTCAAACTTGTCTATTCCCATCTCCAGGTGTACCTGTACATCCAGATGCAGCTGTGTCGGAAGGAGAACCTGAAGGACTGGATGGCACAGCGCTGCCTCCCGGAGCAGAGGGAGCACAACCAGTGTCTGGATATCTTCCTCCAGATCGCAGAGGCTGTCGACTTCCTGCACAGCAAGGGGCTCATGCACAGGGACCTCAAGGTGAACATACACACATGCACACACTGTCCACCGTAATGTATCTTACACTGAAACGGTGAATGTAAAGCAAGACAAGAACGATCCTGATGCTGCAGCTTCTGGAAGGAAAATGAACTTTAACACTGTAGGTTTTAAAGCTCCTAACTTCATGGCTGCACTTTAAAGCTGCAAGTGCTTTATGAAAAGAAAAATAAACCCACCATTTCATCTTAAACCTCATATTGCAGCTGCAGGAGACACAACTGACCGTTCTACACTACTTGAATTTCTATAGGTTCTTGATTTTTGCCCCAAAATCATTTTTTAAATTTAACTGAGAAGTTAAAACCTGAATATGAAAAACAAAAAACCCCTTCAAACAAGTGGCTGGTCTAATGCAGATGTAGCCACTAACATTTAGCTAAATCTGCTTTAAAAACACTTGTTAAACACTGTTGAAAATGCACTTCTTGCTTCCAAAGTGCAAATCTGGCTGGTTTGGGTTTGATCACTATGTAAGTGATTTCCTCTGCTTGTGTATGTGGAGTGGAACACTTGCTGGTGGTGTCAACAGGTGCATGCATTAGTAATGCTCACTGCCTTCACATATTTGATGTTTGACACATCTTACGTAACCTGTCATCATCCGTCCTGCAGCCCTCCAACATCTTCTTCACTATGGACGACGTGGTGAAGGTGGGAGACTTCGGACTCGTCACGGCCATGGACCAGGAGGAGGACGATGACGAGCCGAGCGCCCTGACGCCCGCGCCGCTCCTCACCAGACACACGGGCCAGGTCGGCACTAAGCTCTACATGAGCCCAGAGCAGGTGAGGAGATTATACTTAAAATAATTCATCTATTTGTGGGACGTGTTCATATTTTCATATAAACATAAACAGAAGCTTTGGTTAAAAAGAGGCTATGATAATAATTCCTTATGGGTAAATAAGATAAGTTGATCTGCTCCCTCTAAAAGAGACTTCATGTGTCTTAACTCCATCTTTTCCTTTCTGTCCCGGCAGCTTTCTGGAAACTCGTACTCGCATAAAGTGGACATTTACTCTCTGGGTCTGATCCTGTTTGAGCTGCTGTATCCCTTCAGGACCCAGATGGAGAGAGTGAGGGTGAGTCAGCAAACACATGGGCACATAATCACGTCTTGATTTCACTTCATTTTCTCTCTTTCATTTAATTCCCAAAAGGGTTGTTTCACCCAGTAACTCGGCTTTTGAAATGTCAAGCACGTGGTTATAATCGTCAGTTTAGACTGGATTTGTCAGTATTTTCCTCTTTACAATATACACAGTTTTCTGTGTAAGATACAAATTGGTGTGTGAAGCGTTAAATTAAAAATCAAAGCATCAGTAAAGATAAAAGGAAGTGTGAGCAACGGGAAAAAAAAACGTATAAGGGAGGACAGGAGTGAATAAAGATTAATTAAGATTAATTAAACAAAAGCAAGCTTATATGTGTTGTAAGTAATATTTACCCAACCTGAACTGTTAAAAAAATAAGAGGCTAATAAAATTGGCAGATAATTTCCAATGTGAAGTTAGTTGTTTGATCTGCTCTAATTTTTGGCTTCAGTTTGAATCACCAGTGCTGTTATTTGTGTAAGACAGAGAGAGAATTTCTAATGAGCCAGTTTCCTTCTGTCTCTTTCTTTTATTTACTAAATTGTTTTTGTTGTGTCTGAAAACTCTGTTGGATAAACAGTAACACATCATCGTTCTTGCCATTCGAATGATCATTATTGTCAGTTTTAACACATTTTCTTCACCCTTGTGTGATCGGATCGACCTGGAAGTCTTTGTCTCGGCAACAAAGGGCCTGATTAGCCGTTAGCACAGCTCACAGGTGTTTACATCTTCTTTTTTTTTTTTTTTCCCAGACGCTGACAGAGGTGAGGGCGCTGCGCTTCCCAGAGGTTTTCTCCAAAAACAATGTTCAGGAGGTGAGTGGCCCGCTGCTGCCACCTAGTGGTCGCAAACACAAACTACTTCTAGACCGAGACAAGAAAACTGTTTTTGTTAGTGGCTGAGAACAAGCTGTAGGAAATGAACAAAGTGGGACACATGCAGAGCTGGGAGAGTTCACTCTCATATTGTAGTGTGTCACAGATTTAAATGTCCAGTCACCAACATAATCCCCTTGGTGAGTTAAACCTGCTGAATTAATCCAATTAGGAGGTGTATTCGGATTATTTTGCTCCTGAATCAACGCAATATAAAGTAAAATATGTAAATATCATCATTTTAACACGTAGAATTGTAAACAGCTTCATTCTTACCTCAGACAGTTTTATCAACATGATTTGTTGGTATAATTTGCCTCCATTATCCTGTTAGAATGAAATTATTATCACGTTTTAAAAAGTCATTTAGATATGTCTTTTATGACCACACCGGACACTGGGCCGCCGCCGCCACCGGTGTTGGGTTGGTTACATTACCTTGTTTACCTGTTTACTTTGTAATGAGATTAACATAATCCCATCACGTAATCTGTGATTCTCCAACACTGGAAAATACCCTCTCCCTGCTATCCCTGTATCCCACTTCACTAGCTGTATGCTGTTCTATTTTGGGATGTCCTGTATGTTGTGTGGGTGTGCAGGGGATGACTCTGTGTGTTTATGTACACCATCTGTGTGTGCATGCGTGCGTCTGTGGTTTGGTGTTTTATGAGTTGAAGGTGCAAATTAGTTTAGTGTTTATGTTTACATTCATCACTGGTGCTGTTGTGTTACATGAACCTTAAGTAAAGCAAATAAGTTAAACTAATGGATGTAAATTTTAGCTATGGCATGACTGCTGACAAAGAGCTCATTGTGCTGTATGTTTTCCTCCCTGCGTGTAGCTGAGCATGGTGCGCAGCATGCTGTCGCCGAGCCCCGGCGAGCGTCCTGAGGCAGCTGAGATCACAGGGACTCCCCTCTTCCAGGAGCTGGAGCTGCCCTGCCGACTGGCCGTGAGGCAGCGCTCCCGCACCTACAGCGCCTCGTCTATGGGCCGCCCCTCGCGCCAGACATCGACTAACTGAAGATCCCGTGACGCAATATATAACCCCTGTCCCACACACCCCCCACACCATCCCCCACCCCCCTGTTTCCCTGTCATTCCCCTGCTGGTCTGCTGCCCAAGAGAAACACCTCAGCCCCCGTCACACACTGCCTCAGACAGAATCACTTTAGAAGCCAAGTACAACGAATGTGTGGGAAGTTATCTCAGTGGCTTTAGAGCAGCAAGACAAAGTCCTGCACAGTGACCGATCTTGGAGAATACACATGCCGTTACATATTCGCACACATTATGCTGCCCAAAATTCCCAATCAATTTTAATCACACTTACAAGTGTGAATATTTAAAGTAAAGAATAAAGAATATTTTAAAAGCGACAGCTGTTCTGTAATGTTCACGACCAGACTTGGCTCAAGTGGTACTTACAAATAATTCTTAGTGTTTTTTTGTTTTTTTTTGCGTGTCTCGGAGTACCAGATGGGCAGTGTTTACTGCCGTCAGTCAGCTCAGCGGAGACTAAGCTGTTATCACTAAACATTATACCTAATTGAATTTGAAATATTTACTTGTGATCGTCTGAAACAACTGGCAGTCTCCTCTCTCCACTCTTGTCATGGCAAACATCATCTGGTACTCTGAGATAATTGACAGACGTGCTAAGAGCTGTTGTAGATATGATTTGATTCTGGTCTGGTCACAACACGCTGCTTGCTCTCAACATTCAGCCAGTGTTCACTCACTCACGCTACACCTCAGGTATGAAAACCAAGAGGACACTCCAAAGGGGCCTTTGATGCTTGATCATCCTATCTACTAGTGACTAATACTGATCGCTGGTATGAGCACTAACTGGTGTTCTGACACCCAATATGCCTGATTTGGGAGACCAAAAAAGACCATCTTTTTTCCTATGTGTTTTTTTTATGAGAGAAGGTGATGTATTGCGTAGAGAAGAGTTTATGAATCCAGATATGATTTGCCTTTAGAAAGGGGCCAGCGGCCCCCTCTGGATGAATGCTGAGCCTCGGGCTCATGTCTTTTTTGCATGTATCTGATAGGAAAGTGAAGGGTTGAGTGTGAGTTTGTTATCTTAAAGCCAGTACTTGGACACAGTTTTTCTGTGTGTAAATTTACACAACGATTCGGAGGTGCTCAATCATTTTTCCAGCACCTCCTCTTTGCTCTCTGTACATAATTGAAGGGAAAAAACCTGTTTATACCCTTTTCTTTGTTAATTCAGAAGATACATTTGATCAATCCTGTACATATTGTAAGGCGCCATTGCTTGTAAATGGCTTTTTCATGAGACACCTGTAAGATAGTGTGATATACTGTTGAAAGGGGGAAGAGAGGAGACGATCCCTGCCATTAACGGATAGCTGAATGTTACAGTGTGACCTCCAGAGACAGATGATGTTGGTCACTTCTAATAGCTGTTTGAAATTATTCTCAGTGTTTTCACATATCTGGGGTACCAAGTGGAGGGGGGAGGGGGGGGGGGTTGCCCTGCTTTGAGCACCAGAGGAGGACCCGCAGGACCAGAGTGCCATTTGAAAGTCAGTTAAGTGTACTTTTCTGTAATTGATAACTCACCTCACATTTTTTTTTTTTTTTTTTTTTTTTGCAATTGTGCTACTGTGCTCCAACCCCATCCAGCTGGTGTTCCTGGTGAAGCACTCAGTACTGAGGTCTGCAGCTCTCCCCATGATGCAGGAGAAATAGCATTTAGTGAAGAAGGTGATACTGTTTTACCCCCCCGTCTAGACTGTCTAGTGGGGGACCCGGACCTGATGTTGGTCATATGATCCTCATAAGCATTGTTTTATGTACATAAGAAGTGCTGGGAGAGTACATGACCTGTTTGTAACTACACACACTCAAACTGCTAATTGTAATGTGCTTTCAATGATTGTACTTTTCTAAGGATCTTCTCTCTTTTTCTTTTTTCTTTTTTTTTTTTCTTTTTTAATTTTAAATAAGCAAAGTTTTTGATTATTCTGCAGGGTTTTTTGATTACTGTAAAGTCTTTGACTGTGTCTGATACAGGAAGTCAAACTGATGTTCGTTTCATCCATCCACTCAGCCCACTGAAAATGAGTCATTCTTGTTGTAATTTTATCAATTCTCTCTTCTGTGTTTAAAACGGGACGGTACTCCCACTATGAAAAAGGAGGGAACAGGAGAGATTAAGGGGGGGGGGTGAAAACTCATGCTGCAAATTCAACAGCTTTATATGAAGGACAGTATGTTCTGATAAGTCCTTTCTTGACAATGTGACACCTTTTTGTAAAATTAATGTTTGATATTTCAAATGAATTCAATAATGGATTCAGAGTAAATTCTTCTCTCCTGTGAAATAAGCTAAAAGGATTTGGAAACTTTCTTTTTTTGTCCTTTTGTCTTCTAGAAATCAAATCCTGAGTCAGAGTCAGGAAACTTAACTCACCTACTGTAGTAAATATCTTGTAATCATATACCGTTAAACTAAAAGCAGCATTACTGACAATAGTGTATTATCGGGGGTTCTAGAGATTTTAGTTCTTTTCACTCAAACCAAGAAAATGTCGTTATAACAGTAGGTTTTTGTTGCTTTTGTTTAAATTGTGTTCATCCTCCTTCCACTCCTGCAGTCTGGGTACTTTTTCTTCCTGAGGTTCAAGTGAAAAATCAGATCCCTCTTCTCAATCTCTGATGCCTCTGTCTGGACATGTAGTTCTGTGTTCTTGTGCACAAACCCATTCTCCGTCCATGGTGAATTGTAAATATGTTTATTTGCTTTATTTATGTTTTAATGCCGTGATCAATCCTTTTTTGGGTTGGTGTTATTATGAATGCGCTTCATGCGATGGAGCGCATTGGAATATGATGACTTCTTACAAGTCTAAATTTAATAAACTGTTCTATACCGTTTGTACAGTTTTGTGTCCTTGGTGTGCAGTCTGTGGGAGTGAGTGTTGGGCGGTTCAGTCACTGATATTTCATCACCTGATCATCATTAGGCGAACCACCAAAGACGTTCAGAAACACAGGAATGTTTTCCAATTAAATCACGTTACTGTGAGTAATCATCATTGGTTTGGTGTATGAGATAGCTGCATATACCCAGCAGTGTTTACTTTGCACACGACACACGTATAATAATTAATACACATACACAGAACACACTGAATCATGTGTTTGTTTGTTTTTTGTAAATATCTGACACTGATACTGAATCAGGAAAGAAACAAAATAATACGTAATCAATGATGGAATAATCAAAATGATAAACAGCAATACCGTAGAAGAATTACATTTATATCACAGCCCACTAGAAAGTCGCAGTGGTAGTAGATGCATCACAAGACCTTAAAGGAACAGTACAGTATTATTTCATAATGCCATGAGCTATTGCAAAAATACCATATTGCATTTTGACACATGCACATGTTATGTCACTATAATGTGGAAATATAATATTTTTTTATGTGACATTCAGTGGAAGTACAGTACATTTATTAAAGGCACTGCACACACACAAACACACACAGGTGTTTTCAATTTCTCTGGATGATTAGACCTCTGCTCGGATTGAAGTCGCCTCAGTACATGTCAATCAAACACAGTCTGTACACACCTGAGCAGAGGACTAATTAATTAATTGACATCATCTGTGTATCTATGTCTATAATGTAAGGAAAGATCACTATTTACTATTTGCTTTATATATTTTTAGAGAAAGCAAAACAGAACCTTTATGTATTTATTTATTTTACTTTATACTTTATTTATTTTAAGCTCCAGAAAAAGCTGTTAAGTGAACCTTAAGTTACTATTATTTCTGCAGCTGCTTTGTGTAAGGTCAACAATTTCACAATTATTATTTTTGTTAGAATTCAAAAACAACTGCTCCCGAGTTTTACATAAATAGGAGCATGGGATATGTAGTTTTAATGCTTAATGAAATAATAATTTAAACTTTCTTGATATAAAAATGGGTTTTCAGAATACAAAATAGCCCAATGGAAAGAAACCATGTATGGGGAAAACATCATGTAGAAGAGGCTGACATGTTACCTTAAATAAAGGGGCGGGGTTTCTGCCCTCTGTTTTCAAAATAAAAGTTTAAAGCCCTGCGCGCTTCGCCCCCCCCCCTCCCCCTCCCTCTCCTGGTTGCGCATTTCCGTTACCATAACGTCACTTCTGGATGTCAATATGCGGCTTGGTGCGGCGCTGGGAAACAGAACCACTGGAAAGATGTAAACCAAGTAACCAGCGAATACCAGCCTCAACGAAGACACTAAACCTTACCTCCGGGGAAACCTTACCTTTAGTCTGAGAGACGGAACCACAGCAGCGGGCAGCTCGTCGGGTCTCTTGTCTCCGAAGCAGCGGAGCGTCTGTCTAAAGCAGCCATCTTTTGTGAGAGAATGTACGGGGCGACGCGGCGGGCCTGCTCGGGCTCTGGCCGGGGCCGGAGCCTGCTGATGCTGTCGACCGCGCTCCTGCTCTCGGTCGTCGGGCTGCTCTCCGGGCTGCCCGGCGTCACCGAGGCGAAGGAATGCGACAAGCCGTGTATGAACGGCCAGTGCAACACCGCTACGGGCAACTGTGTGTGCTTCCCCGGCTGGGTTGGGGACCAATGCCAGCACTGCGGAGGGCGATTCAGGTACGGTGAACACACGGGCAGAATAAAGCGGCTTTTTTTTTATTTATTTATTTATTTTTTTTATCACTGAGATAGGTTGTGTATGACGCCTACGTGTGCTTTGCTTTGTGCCAAATCTGTACCAACTCAGAGGCCAGGTAGCATGCGAGGAGGCGCCCGAGCGGTGCACACCTGAGGCAGATACCGGGTCTACTACTACTACTATTGCCACCGCCGTCACCACAAGGGCACAGCTGTCCTGGTTCAGATGCAGTGCATGTTTGTAAAGATGCTGAATAGTGCAAGTATGTGATCTGAATGATTATCCAAAAGGCTTACAGTTGGGGCCTCAGTACTTCATAATCTCCACCGTGTCACCATCTTATCATTCCCTTACCCAAATGTGCACATCAGTACTGCCTCATTGTTATACTGGACTGTAATTATTCACAGCAGGGCTGTAACTAAGGATGGTTTTCTTTAGTTATACTCTGGCACTTCCTTTTTTTGTCTTCATCAAATGTTTTGATGATAAAAAAAAAAGGTGCAAGAAAAGAGGAAAGAGAGTTCCCACTGCATTTTCCCAGAGGCCAAGAAAGCAAAATAAATGACATGAAAGGCACTTTTGAGAAGCTGTCTTTTCTCACTAAATGATCATCAAAAATATTTATGTATTTGTTTTTTTTGTATCAGCTGACTAACTAATTAATCAGCTAATCAGTTTGGTATTTATCCACAGTTCAACCACTCAAATCCCAGCCAGGATATTTATTTCT